ATTCAAAGTGTCATCGAAAAATTTTGTATGAAAAATTAAACAGCGCCCTCTAGGGCGGCTATAATATAGGGGGCGCTGTTTAATTTTTCATACAAAATTTTTCGATGACACTTTGAATACGCAACGAAACGAACTCGAAAGTTTTTCGTACTAGAGGTACTGAGCCCACAGGTCGCCGGGTGTCCGGGTCTCGCTATGATAGTGGTTTATACTGCTTGTGATATGGGATTAGGATTAAAATTGTTAAGACGAGTTTCAGTCGCAACTCGAAATTATTCACTTTTGATGTTTATTACTCGTATTTAATTTCAGTACTTTTCATAAACATGAAAACAGTGAGCAATGTAGTGCAATAATAATAACGTCAAATAAACTTTAAACCTTGGATCGCTTAAGCGCTTGCTGATACCGAATCACAGCTGCTGATATACAATTACAAAAAAAAATCAAACAAATTTTCAGCAGTTTTTAGAAATTTTAAGTAATCTCTAGCCTCATTTTCAAACTAAGATTTAGCTGACCTTGAAAAAGTTCCTCAGTGCGCTATGTGGAAATATGCCAAATGTGAAAAATAAGTTGTGAGAGTACAAAACCGACTGAAAAAGCCGGGATTCCTCAACCCAAACACATCAAAAGGACGAGAGCCCTCAAGATTTACTTTGTCTTTGACCGCAGACGGATTAGTCCCTCTCACTCTCTGGTCAGTGTTTTTCAATCTTTTTCGAAATTCGAAATCTCGCGACCTCTATAGGGGATAGAGGCTTCGCGACCCCCCTATGGAGGCCCACAGGTTGAAAAACACTGCTCTAGGCTATACCTTTGGAGGTAAACCAATTGCTGATCCTTATCTATGTAGGTAAGGGTCGAGTCAATGGACGGAGGCCGCGCCAAAGGTCACTGGGTCAGCACAATCCTTGTGGGATTTTAATACAGGTGTCGTATCAACTGAAAGTGTGTGCACTGGATTAAATTGATACTTTTTGTGACATTACTTTGGGCACGAAGGTTTCCATTTTAGTTTAGGTTTTTCAGAAATACTCATAGTTTAGGTTTTCATATACGATGGCAGTCAAATACCTACCTACCTTGTTCTGCATAAAAAAACCTTATAATTTTGTAAAAAAGGCACATAGCTGAGGTAGGTAGAGCGTACGATCGCCGGCTTAAATTGAATGCACATAGTGACGAACATACTAAACAACAAAAGATATTCTTTGAAAGGTCTCCCAGGCTTTTAGTAGCTCATATAAGGTAGTTAAAGTTTGATAAATATTTCTTGTGTTTTTCCTGTTTTTTCCCAAAAATACCATAAAGGCATTCGCCACTGTAACTTGTAATAATATAGCCTAATTTAAATTGTCACGTTATCGAAACAAGTGCAAAAATAAATTATTTAACGACAACGGACGTACTCGTAGCTAAAATCATAATGTTTTCAATACCATAAAATGTAAAACGAGCTTCCTAAAAGGCACGTTTTGTGTGTAACAAAACGAATCAAATGGAAGCGTATTCTATTGTATAATTACGATCAGTCAATACCACTGAACTTAACGGGGCAAGTATAATTTACAGTAAAAAATGTTACTTATTCGTATCATGTTACCTCCACCATAATGCACTTTATCACAACGATTATAAGGTTTAATTTGGTTAGAATATAGCTTTTCGGAAGCTCCCTAGGGTGCAACTTGTGGACTTAAACAGTGTGTAATAGGGGTTATATTGGTCTGTTTTATGTTATTTGGGACTACGTAGAGAGATAGGTTCCCGTGTGAATGTAGGTGACGGGGGTGGTTGGGGTGGTGCGATTGTTCGATGTGTAATGCAAATAATATGCACGACGATTAATAGTGCGTATGGTTTCTACCTATTGTTTAATGTTCACTATAGGAAAGATAATATTTCCAATACGAGAAATTTCCATTACGATAACATTTGTCTAAAACAGTCGATAATAGGTAAAATAATCTCACAGTAATGTCATTACTACCGTTGCGTTTTGAAAGCTTGATGCTCATTTTCGGTGGACATTCAACGGCTGTTATTAATGATGTTATAAATTTTTGATGGAGTTGAGTCAATAGTATGGAAAATTTAAACAAAATCCACTCTACCCCAATCAATCCATTAATACATTGTTTAAACGGACTGACGACTTAAGTTTGTGACGTCACCCTCGTTCACTGGACTGTTGTGGTAAATCTACCTTACAGAGTATGTCTAAAGATCTACCTCTGACGTAAGGAAAATAACGTCACAAATTAAGTAGTACCTCCTAATTCTTATAAAAATCTTATTCGTGTTCATGAAACTGAGTCAAGTGCGAATATTTTCATACTTTTAACTCCTATTCCATAAAAGATCAATTGTTTAATCGCACTTTGCGAATGCGAGGGGGCCCGGCGCGTGTGAAGCGCGCGCACGCGCGGTCACACGCGCATTGCACGCGACGTGCGCGGGAGTAAGTAGTCGGGGGTGGATTGGCTATTGATTGATCATGTTGACACTGCTGAGGTAGCTGGTTAGAAATTGACTTCGTATTGTCTGTCACATTTAAAACAAATGATAGTGGGTTTGATAGTGTAGGTAAATACATAGACTGAAGGAAGAAAATATCCCAGGCAGTGGCGAATAGCTAGGTAACCAAGGGCCCTGGGCAAAAAAAATGGGGCCCCACTACAATCTAAAATGAGGTTTTATCAAGTTTATTGACATTAAGCTTACTTACTCCTGATACAACTTTCCAATTTCTCTCTATTTATTTTGAAAATGGGAGAAATTTCCAAAGTTCAGTTCAATTGAGATTTTCTGGTAAGGATACGAGGGCCCCTTGAGCATGGGGGCCCCGCCTTGCCCCTTAGTAGCTACGCCCCTGATCCCAGGTTTTAGTGGGTTTGAGCCCCACATAACCTGCCGTCTCCCCGTGGTAGATGGACAGAGAGCATATTCCTGGTTAAAAAAGCTGCCTACTTTTACCTAAACAAACAATGATGTGTTTTTACAAGTTTTTATTTACATTATCTCTGGTTTTATTTGGGGTTGTTCGTTGTATTTTTCACTTTGCCTGAATATGCGCAGAACGCATCCAGTGTTTACCTATGGCAAATCAATAAAGGGTTTTTTTTTAAAATAAGTTGGGTATGTATTACAATATGCTTTAGAAGATGCGGATTATGACTTAGTTTAGCAAAGACCACGATATAAAAGGATGACTCTTATTAAATTGATAAAGAGATATTAATCGGTTGTCAAAACAAACAGTTTTAATTTCTCCATGTTGTCAATTTGAAGGGAATCTTCGCGCAGTTTCCCTAAAAAATAATCTTACATAATCTTCGGAAACTGATATTTCAGCCACTTTCATTCACTCGTGTCACAAGCCTCAAAGGCTTCAAAGGATTGAAGACCTTAAAGGACAACAATCATTTACTTACCAACTTACTTGTTGGACGAATACTTTATTTTATTAAGGACAACAACAGAGTTGTAATAAAAATTACTAAGTATTCAAACTTTATGATAATAATATGGCGAGCTGTTGGTGAGTAGCGACACCACGGGGCCAGTTGTTAATCCGAGTGCTCCCGAGAGTCGGTCAAGACCCTCGTCTTCGGCTTGCCGAAGTGGAATCCGAGAGGGTCTGCAGGACTTTCACCTCTGGCTTGCCTTAACCGGCCGGCCAGAGTGGAGTCGCTAGAGCTATATGCTCCAGGGGTGGAAGTGTTAAAGGGCATAACGCCGCGAGTAACCTCGGAGAAAGCGCAGCACACCTCGCTACACCCCTGAGCTGGCAGACGCCAATGTTGCCCCTCAGTCCGGTCTATACGACTCATGACGCCAGGGGGGGGCCATTTAGTCGCTGGCTAGTCACCGCCTGCCATTTTTTCAGTCAGAGACTATGAACCAGGCAAGTGTCCCGTAGTCTCCATCCATAGCCCAGTAACCAGTCCCTCCATCCTTCATCCATAACCCTAGTCCATTCTCCAATAACTGCAATAGCTCCTGTGCACAGGCTGGGGATGGTCTCTGACTACATCCCATGATATAGTCAGAGACTAGATCCAGCATGTGCATCACTTTCACTTTTGTCGATTATTTTGCGCTTAAAACGGCCTCTACGTGTTGGACCTGTATCCCCACGCAAGCCTTACAAAGGACCGGGCCACTTTTGGCCCGTGAGCTCCAAAGCGTACAAACATAATAATAATAATAAATCTTTCATTCATTTGGCACGGGACAAAAAATGACAATTACAAGTGTAAAAAGGTACATAAAGAAGAAAAAATAAAATAAAAGAAGAAAAAATAAATTTTTAAATACCTAATCATAGCAAAACTTAATATGATTAAATTTGTATAACGAGTAGGCCATTATGTATACCTACCTACTTTTCGGTTTCATTCAAGCAAATTACATACTTATAATAAATAGCTCCATTGGGTTTCAGCAAGCTACTGTAAAATCATATTATTTCATTTTAAAAAGTATGCAGAGACTTACCCGCACGCTTAGAGTAGTACTGGCACAGAATAGTAGAATTTTCTTCAATTTCATCATCTTCAAAACTTTTCACCAAAATTATTTTTCAATTTGAGGAGAGTGACGCCATCTCTTGTTTTAAATGGAAACTGTAACAACGACATCTACATTCGTTTTGGGAACTATGTAAGTACATGGGTTGAAAATAACATGAAGGGAACGAACAGACGATGTCCGTAATTAAGTACAGGAATGTGTCACAAGAGGGCGCTAACTTAGAAATATGGTGTGTATGAAAATATTTGTGGGACATTATTTTTTTTAATTACAGGGATACAATATTTCTTTTATTATAGGAAAATATAAAAGAAAACAAGATTTTACAGATAAATCAGATTTTACTCTCTTTTTATGTAGTTATTCTTATCTTAACAATTAACATTATTAGTTTAGAATAAGTACATCTAAATTATCTAATACCATACAAATACAAGTTTATTTTCGTTTTAGAAACTATCAGCTTATTATTCTAATCATATTATTTGCACTAATTCAATGTTATCATTGAATATAACCCACGGCAGTCTTTTTTTCTACCATTACCATAAAAATAATTAAACTTTTTTAGCGCCATGTAAAGCGAATTTAACGCCATCTCTTGGTCAATCGCTGAAGCTCGTTCGCGGTCACTTGTCATGGCTTGAACGGGAGTCGCGGTCCGATGCGGTGTCCCGAGGCTCGTGCATTTCCAGCTCAAAGTCGTCTACTGCCATCGGTGTGTCTGGAATATTTCGAAATTAAAAATTATTTACGTACGTAAACAGATAAAATATTAAATAATAACAAAACATCTTATATTCTAAATGTATCATCATTCGCCCGCGCTTTCTTCGAGGTTGTCATTGAAACATGATATTCTTTTGAAAATAAATCTTGAACATTTTGATCGCACAGCAAAGCTAGCTTAAAAAGAGTAGCCACTTTAAGGTGAATAATTATCAATCATTAAATCTGATACAAGCATTTTGTAACATCTTACTATCAACAAAGTTGACGTATTATCAATTTTTAAACATTTCGTTTGCACGAGAAATGACCCGCCCACAATTTTGTATTTTGTCTTGTCCATTACTTAAAAAAAGAAAAAAATACACATGGTAGGGGTTGGATCAATTCGCTGCGAAGAAATTGAAGCCTTAAGTGTTCAAGCGTCAACTTTGTTGATGGTACTATGTCTCACTACAGGTCACGATAATCTCGTTTAGGATCGTTTATGAGTATACATCATTTATGCCTCGCAGGTTCATTATCATTTATGCCTCGTAAACGAACTAAAGTCGCTGACATAGCCCGACGGATTATCAAGCTGAAGTGGCAATGGGCAGGGCACATAGTACGCAGAACTGACGGCTGATGGGGCAGCAAGGTTCTAGAGTGGAGGCCGCGTACCGGAAAACGCAGCGTGGGGCGTCCACTCATAAGGTGGACCGACGACATCATAAAGGTAGCAGGAAGGCGCTGGACGCAGGCCGCTACCAACAGGGCAACATGGAAAACATTTGGGGAGGCCTATGTTCAGCAGTGGACGCCCTATGGCTGAGATGATGATGATGTTGATGTCTCGCAGGAACGAAGTCACCTGGCGCGCTCCGAGCCCGAGGGTCGCTATGAGAGACAGTCTCCGGGGGACTCACCCAGGTGGTCCAGGGTGGTCCATGCCGCGCAGGCATGACGTCACCTGGCGCGCTCCGAGTCCGAGGGTCGCTATGAGAGACAGTCTCCGGGGGACTCACCCAGGTGGTCCAGGGTGGTCCATGCCGCGCAGGCATGACGTCACCTGGCGCGCTCCGAGCCCGAGGGTCGCTATGAGAGACAGTCTCCGGGGGACTCACCCAGGTGGTCCAGGGTGGTCCATGCCGCGCAGGCATGACGTCACCTGGCGCGCTCCGAGCCCGAGGGTCGCTATGAGAGACAGTCTCCGGGGACTCACCCAGGTGGTCCAGGGTGACGCCCATGGCCTTGCGGACGCTGTGCAGCGGCGCCACGTGTCGCGGCGGCACGCGCGCCACCATGCCGCGCAGGCATGACGTCACCTGGCGCGCCACCTCGCGCTCCGAGCCAGAAGGTCTTGGTATCAGAGATAGGTGCCACGGCGGCGGCGCTGACAGCCTGCGAAGAGAAATAAATATTTTATAAGTCACGTATGTACTAGAGGCAGCCTCGGGCTGAGCGGCTGCCTCGTCCTGAGCGACAAAATGAGGCTCAGTCCGCGGCGACTATTTTTTCCTCGCAACGAGTCGTGCTGTGTGCTGTGGTTTAGGCTGCCTCTAGTGGACATCCGGCTATCCACACAGTTTGGTTACGCTAGACTCCTATTGTTGTCAAAAAATACATAACCTTCATAGCGGCGCGACGGAAACTATCATTGCTTTTATGCACCTGTACCCTAGCTTACAATAAGTGCACACACTTGGCGGCGCACGGTACCAGACGAGGCGAAGAAGATCGACAAGACATAGAGCGAGATCAAACGCGAAGCTCAAGACCGAAAGCGATGGAGGACTGTTGTGGACGCCCTCTGTCCCATCTAGGGGACATAGGACATCGTCAAGTAAGCCAAGTGACGCTAACAGTCGTGACCGGACATATTCAAGGCAAGAGTGAATAGGCATTTACAGGGCAGATATGTACCATCCTAGACTGCATCTTAACAGCAGGTACGATTGCGGTCAAACACCTGCCTTGTCCTGTATTAAAAAAAATCATGTCAGCGAGCCAGGAGACTCGCTAACGCTGCTCTCTCTCCAGGCGTTGCAGCAGATCCTTAAGTGCCCAGGGTCCCTAGTATATCAAAGACGGCCCTGACGAGCATATGTCAGCCAGGAGACACTCACCGCTCCCGCTGCTCCCTCTCCAGGCGTTGCAGCAACTCGCAGGTGTGTCGCAGCGCGGGCCCGATGCCGTAGTCGTGCTGCGATGCCGCGATGTCGTCTTCCAACTCGGCTAAGAACTTCAAGTCGATGCCCAGCTCTGATAAAGTCCGCAGCTGGTCGTCTGTGACCTTGATCCTTAAGTGCCCAGGGTCCCTAGTATATTAAAGACGGCCCTGACGAGCATAAAATATGTCAGCCAGGAGACACTCACCGCTCCCGCTGCTCCCTCTCCAGGCGTTGCAGCAGATCCTTAAGGCGATTAGAGTCCTCAATCCGCGCCAAATGGGCATTTTGTAAAGCCTACTCCTCTTTTACTGCTGGATAGAAATAGTTGAAAAAAATATATGTTATACAACAGTTCAAGGACTACATTTGTGACGTTTGAATTTTCGCTACGTCTCTTTGTTTTGGATTAAAAAAATAAATACGGGACATCGATTTTTTACTTCAATTCCCTACTCCTCCAAAACGGCTATGTTAATTTAAAAGATTTTTGCACGAATAGATTGGGAATTCTTTAATCTTTAAATGACACGTTGCGTTTTTCAATCGAACATTACTTTCATTCATAAATTTTACTTTTGATAAATTCCGAACGTTTTGCTGTTGAGGGGGCCTTCGCGGGGTGCGGGCGGCAGTCGGCCGTTGGCCTTCAGACGGGGAGGTTGTGTCACTCGCTGCAAACTGACATTAGCGATCAAAATGAATTTTTTCTTTGGCTGAGTTGCAAAATACCGAAAAATGTTTCAAATAATTGTAATCCACACTAATTTACGCTTCTAAATAATATATTAGAAACACCCTGTGATTAAATTTAACAAAATTACAAACTAAACATGTATTGTCAAAAGTTACTTGAAAACAATGAAAAAATACTTTTCAAAATAAAACACACGTGTTTGTTGTCACGGCAAAAACCACATGGCCGATATTAATTGATTTTAGTTGTGTATCGCTGAGTGTTGCAGTTACAGACATTCAATAAATACTTTACGAAATATGAGGGTGGTACAATTTACCCGGCGGTACAATATACCGAACTCTCCCCTATATCTGATTTAAATTGCAAATCATTTTAAAATAGCTAAAACGGTAGGCACTAGTAGATTTTTATTACATCTCTTGATGAGGAAAAAATCCTCTCCTGATGTAAAATTGGATGCTACTAAGACGGGTTTGTTATCCATTATCCATACATTTTACAATAACAATGTCATTACTAATGAATATTTGGGATTCTTGCTTGATGTCCTTATTTTTCTTGCTGTGAATGTGGCTTTGTTTTTTTAAATGTCAAAAACCATGTGAACATGTCCCAGAGAATGAAATCCATTTGCTCGTCTACGGAATAAAAAACAATGTTGGCTTTCTACTTTGTCTCAAGCATTCTAGACTTGAGTAAACACAGCATGCCCTTCCTTCCAAAACTCAATTCTGGTTTTCCTACTGCAGGACTGGCTTTTCATGTAGTAAACAGTGATGAAGCCATCACTGTTTACTACATGAAAAGCCACACTAAAACTGAAAAAAGATCTCTGAAAATTTTGTCATCAACTAAAGCTAATCTCATTCTATTCGACGCCAATACACGTGAATGCATGGGGACGGAATACATCCCATGAAGAAATTAATTCAAACTACTTGTTGAACTTTTTTACTGGGGTATTCAATACTTTTCCCGTTTTGCGGATAATTATTGGTAGAAACAGCTGCATGTTCAAAAAACATATCGTCAAAAGCCTTCACTGTAGGTCAAAGGAGACTACTACTACTGACAATAGTTCTGGATAGTAATAATCCCTCTGGTTCAATGGCATCTGTATCAAGACCCTTTGGCCAGTCACATGGCTTTCCGATGACTTTTAGAGAGCTATTGGCACAGTATCGGTCTTGGAGGTAATTGAGGCTTATCAGTAGGCATCAATGGCAAACCAAGAGTTCTACATTGCCTTCATCATGTTCCATCTCTTCAATTTCGGAATAATTGACATACCCAATAAGCTGAAGCAACAATTCACCCGTTAATTCTGTTCCTAAAAGCCGAAATTTAATTAAAAGCATTAAAATATAATAGTTCACCGCCATACAAAGTATGGCACCGAATGTTGGGTTTGAGTCGGATCATCACTATCGTGCAAACAAAATTTTGAGATGTAATATTTCCCACTGCAAAATAAATAATGCCAAAAATATTATTTACCGAATTACATTACTAACTAAACAAAATATTAAAACCAAAATTCTAGTAAAATAGTTGAATTAATCACGAAATACTAACGCTGACCACTACGCTCAACAAAAGAGGTCGACATCTTTACCTCGGTGTCAAAGAACACAGACTGCCTTCTCTCTCGCACCTATGCGTTTAATTCATAAACAGACTGTTGCACGATCGTTGGCTAGCGTATTGGGCCCGAAAAGTTGGTTAGAAAAGTCGCGGGAATTTTTTGAAATAACGTGCACGATCGTGTTAGGTCGTCCTGAAAGGGTGAGTTGAAATGTCGCGTGACGTCACATTTGAGTAAAAATTCTACTCAAGCGTGGCGTATCGCGCCATTTCAACTCGATGTAGCACTGTTATTATTTAATTATGAAAGAAAATAAAAAATATGAGTCTAATATTTTTTAATTATCTGTCTGACGGACAAATAATTGAAATTTTGTCATCTAGCCTAGTTGTCGTCAGGAAGTTGGTCTAACTAATTCAGCTTGCAAGATTCCACCCGAACAAACATTTATGTAATTACCTACATACATCATAAATTGCAAGCTAAATAAAAGCTTGTAATAAAGTCGGATTTGTTCAAATTTCGAGAACGACTGAACCGACAAAAGCATTAGAAAATTTACGAAAAATAAAATAAAATTTTATCCCGTACAAATTCTTCATGGATTTTGTTATTTTTATTAAATACCTTTACGCCTGAGTTAAATGACACCGACATCAAGGTTCATCAATTTAAGTTTAAAATAATAGGCAGTAATGTATGAAGAAAGAGCTTCTATTCTGTATCTACCTATGCCCGTGTATTTTTGATCGGTGTCAAATCGGAGTTTTTGGTGCGGGGTACGCGGGTGTTGCTCGCGGCGTGAAGGTCAAACGCCCAAGGTCATTGAGGACTCTAATCGCCTTAAGTGCTCAAGGTCCCTAGTATATTAAAGACGGCCCTGACGAGCATATGTCAGCCAGGAGACACTCACCGCTCCCGCTGCTCTCTCTCCAGGCGTTGCAGCAGATCCTTAAGTGCTCAGGGTCCCTAGTATATTAAAGACGGCCCTGCCTAGCATATGTCAGCCAGGAGACACTCACCGCTCCCGCTGCTCCCTCTCCAGGCGTTGCAGCAGCTCGCAGGTGTGTCTCAATGCGGGCCCGATGCCGTAGTCGTGCTGCGACGCCGCGATGTCGTCTTCCAACTCCGCTAAGAACTCCACGTCGATGCCCAGTTCTGATAAAGTCCGCAGCTGGTCGACGTCCACCTTTACTTTTGATATGTCCTGGGGGCAGAAAATAAAATTAATTGTGATTTTAAATTATAATGCCAACTATGAGATAATGAAGACATAGGTTTACAATACTAAAGAAAATATTAAAGTTCATAGGTTTGACGACTCTCAAAGAAAAACGGGCAGTAAAAAACTGCTTGACATTTATGAGAAAATTATCAGACTTTCCAATCATGCCCTAAATCAAATAATATACTCAACATCAAATAAACCGCACCTTCCGCGACGCGAACTTTAACGATTTTCTTCTGACACAATCATGGTGCCCCAACAATCAAATATTGGTGTTATTTGAAAGCCCAATAAATATTCTTAAAGAAAAACACATTTAATTTCTTAATAAATGATTAAAATATACCATAAATGTGACTTGAAAAAATACCTCACTTTGGGCCCACCTATGGGATCAATTAGACCAATTTTTATGGTTATAAAACCAAATAATGATTTCACGTGTCCTCTTTAACAGATGGATAGCGATTAATCCCAACTTAACAGTTTTATAGCCATAAAAGTTGGCTCTAGCGTAACTACCTATTTTTTGAAGAAGTGACTCTGGATCCTTCTAAAAACACATTTTTGGGGTAAAAACCTTTCCTTTAATGAAATGAAGGTTAGAACTAGGCTTCTAAATGGTGCCAATATTGGTGGGAAGTGGGGAAGCATACGTTTGCTTGTCGCGGGAGGTGCGATTTATTTGATGTCGAGTGTATATCTTTACTTATTTATTGTATTTTTTTTTCTATAATGAATTACAGAAATCAATAAATGAATAAAAACGAAAATAATATTGCGCTCTCTATGTTGGATACTTTTCGGTTCGAAGACTAACACAAGTCATTCGAGACAACCAAGTTCATAAAGCTATCGATAGATGGCGCTATTCAGCACTTTGTAGAATTTCGTTAGCAAGCACTCAAATGACGTCATACTATGCTACGGTTGGCGGCGCATACCGACTACTAATTTTACCGCACCTTCCAAGTCTTCGGTAGTATAGTGGTCAGTATCCCCGCCTGTCACGCGGGAGACCGGGGTTCGATTCCCCGCCGGAGAGAACTTTTTGCATTTTTTATTTTACTTTTTTACTTATTTAAAATTAAATATAGTACATTTGCAAGATCTAAATAATTTAAAAAAATTGTTTAGTGGTTAAAATGTAAACCGATGATTTTGTAATATTACGTTGTGATAAAATTATACTTTTAATGTTTGTTTGTTACATTATTTTTGAAAAATAAATATAAATTGCCAAAACATATTTTATGAATATGTTATAAACAAAAATGTTAAAAACTTAAATTTAATTTAGAATACTGAGATGCAGACCAACCAACCGGTAGATATGGAAATGGCCTATGTGCAGCAGTGGACGTCCTATGGCTGAAATGATGATGATGGTTGTGTTAAAGATACAAAATATAAAACTCACATTGTCGTCCTTAGGCGGTGGCTCTGGCTGCGTCTTCTTCTCAGGGAACATGGCTTCCATGTCGTAGAATAGAGTCCATGGTGAATCGGGTGCAAAGCGGAGCAACTCCTCGTTGCCTTGCCCGGTCTCCGCCGCTGTTGGAGAAATGTTTTATTTATGCTTACAGTCAGTAAATGGATTACTTTACTTGCTAAGTACTACATACCATCTCATGTGATGTGTTTTAATTTAAAGCATATAAATAAATCAATGTAGAGTCGTCCAATCGACCGTTAAATAATCCAGATTCGAACTAGCTCTTTTATGACCCTGTATAAAATGTTCAAGGATATTTAGCTGTCTGGATGAAAAAGCCGACATATCGTGTGAAGCGCCTTGAAGAAAGCTTACGTTCAGGAAGGGATTGCTATATTATGATGAAATGATAATGATTATTGACTATTTTTTTTACGTCGGGAAATGCTTCGCATGCGTGTGTTCCACTTTTTCCACTGACCGATGGGGACCACCAATGAGGATCAGTACTGTTGTAGAAAATTCAATAAAACTAGTATCTACGTTAATCTTTAAGACATAAGAAAGATATATCTTTTTGAATTATCCAAATCGGACCATTACTTACGAAGATATTAAGTAATAAACATAGGCCGTTTTTGCCGCTAAAAGTCAACGTACGCAAGGCCGCGTGACGTCATTATAGCCCAATCGAGCGCAGCCGGCGTACTAATGGGATGGAAAATATTTTTTTCCGGCTAAACTATCAGTTTTAGAAAAAAAATATGACTCTAACAACACTTATGTACACTTTATTTGAATAAATCGCCAAATATACCACCGCGGAGACCCCAATCGCGTCTCTGCGTGCCATTGAATCGTATGAGCGTATGGATTTTTTGCGTTATTTTTCACAATTTCCATTTTTAAAAATTACCTATCGATAGCTTACTTTATTCTGATGAATAAATGTCATTACAAGTTTTTCTCTAAAACTGATAATTTGGCTAGAAAAAAATATTTTCTATCCACGCAGTACGCCGGCAGCGTTCGGATCGGATACAATGACGTCATCGTCCCCGCGCCGGGCGGTCAGTGAACTTTTTTAGTAATTTGGCCATAACTTCGTCAATTTTTGTCGTAGAACAAAAATTTTTGCACTGTGTATTAAGGATTTCTTAGCCCTATAAATCTGCATTCACAGCTAAAAATCGAAATGATCCTCATTATACCAGGGACTAATGCCCGTTTTCACCATCAAACCCTAATTTTTAAGTGACCCCTATGGTAACATATTATTATAACAGAAATTTTGTTTTATAGGGGTTACTTAAAAATTAGGGATTGATAGTGAAAACGGGCATAAGTGCACTAAAACAAGACGGTGTCCACCGGAGACCAATGAAACGGAGCCGCGAGTAAGGCCCAGAACAGACGGTGAAACGCAACTGCAACGATACTGCAACTGCTAGTTACTTTTGAGATGCATCTAAGTTTCTGCCATAGCGTCCGTTGAGAGACCACACATGACGCGACCAGTTTGAAAGTTTCACCGTCTGTTCTGGGCCTTACTCTCCTAACTTGACATTCGTCTGCAGCTGTCAGGCTATGGCTGGCTCTCCAGCGAGCCTCTCCGGTTTTCAGGGTTCACCAATCATGGTTTTATCATTACTCACGCAGCGTGTGGTAGATGAGGTGCGACTCGTCCTTGGTGAGCGTGGCGAAAGTGCCGTCGTAGGACGGCGCGTAGGAGCTGAAGGGCCCGTAGTGAAGTGGCTTGACGCCTTTCGCCAGGTTACGTCGATCTTCGCGAGGCGCTGGGAAACGTATGACTGTTAGTAGGGAATTTAATCGGAGGATTTTTGAAAAATAGACAGTTTAGCAGCGATTTACTTCAGCTTCAACCACACCAACGCGTGCAGATCGCTATCGCGGCGCGATCATAGGCCAATGACAGGTCGCGCGACCCCATGACAGTTCACGCGATCTGTCATTGGCCTGCGCACGCGTTGGTGTGGTTGAAGCTTTACTCGTAGTGTGGACAGTAGTTCAAGCTAGTCATTGTGGTATTTTTGTTGCGTTATGGGTCGTTTTTAAAAAAAAATAGTTTGATAGGCTGAATCCGCAAAGAATATAAAATACAGTTTTGAGACCAAAATCTATCCAGACATCAGAATGGCAAACATGGTCATGACATGAGGCGTACGCCGGCCCTGCGACTTTAAAATGTGAGACACTGGCTAGCATAATATGCGCGCACAGATCGCAATCATTGCGTATATCATTTAAAAAAAAAACGATGTTTAAAAAAATGCATTCTGGTTTATTCCTTAGCGGTTTGTAGCACTCTAGTAACTAAATAAATAGATAAGTATACTCACTGTGCAAAGATCCCGTTCCTTGCGAGAGCTTGCCGATGTATTTGCCCAGGGTCAGCGGCTTTTCATCTCCAGAGCCTTCCACGGTGTTGGTGACCAGGCACAGCGTGGTCTTGCCTTCGGAGTCCATGCGTGGGAAGGCTACGACAATATAAAATAGTCACTGAGTGTCTCGCGCTGCTTCTTCTCAGCACTGGCCCATTTATTGTCCCGAAGCAGTGGTAGGGTTAATACTGGGACGTTTAAACGTGCTTTTTAAAAGGGTAATTGCAAAAATAAAATGAGTTTATGACTTTTAATACACGCAGTGTCACAGTGGCATAGCGTGCTTAGGGTCCAATTTCCAACAATGCGGAGAAGAGACGTGTTTGAATTGCCAACTAGAATTCGTTATTTCCACATCGCCTTTCCGCTCACATTCGGTTCGGAAATCTGATTGGTCCTTCTGTGGGGCTCTTTCATCTAAAAAAAATTAAGAAGGTCTTCAGGGCATCTAAGGGCCCCTGTAGCCTCGTGGTACAGTCAGCGTTAAATAGTTTGTGACAACCAAAGTGGCCAAAAAGTTGCTTATTATGTATTTTATTCCAATTGCAAAAAAGACGTGTTATGAACATTATTGACTACTTTGGGTGTCATGAACTATTTGACGCCGACTTTACAGGCTACAGCGATAGCTACCCACCCTCTTGATATATTCTGTCTGATGTCAGATGTAAAAAAGTATCGTTCGTTCGTTCGTTTCAGCCAAATGACGTTCACTGCTGGACAAAGGCCTCCTCCAAGGTTTTCCACAATGCACGGTCCTGCGCTGCCCGCATCCAGTAAAAAAATATACTTTATCGAAATAAAAAATACTATACGAATTCTGTAGAATGATTTCGTATATCTAATAAATTGTATGATTAATAGCAAATTAATAGTAAAACATTTTTTTAATTAATTGATGTTTAAATTTTATCTCGGCGAGGTTAATTAATTATTTATTGAGAGATTTTGTTTGATTAATGGTTTCATGATTTTCCACTCTCTATCGAAATATCGATTATTTTCAGACGAATTCAGCTTCCGAATGATTTATGGTACGTCCGGACACAATATATTACTTTCTCCTTTCTTTTCTATTGTGACTGCGTACGAGAATGTCGAAATAACAAAAACGAGCATTTATCGGAAATAATAGGCCGACTTTTTAAATGACAATACTTTCTATTATGCATGGTAATCAACAGTGTAGATGTCCTGCGTTTGCGTTTACTTTTCGCCTTATGCCAATGAGTTTAGAAACCCCGTAGACTAGACTACAGAGTTTTAGTTGGCCGATAGTTGGGTCGGGCTGTTAACTTTACACTGTAGTGCGTTTACACCAATTTAGTATAGGTCGGTTCTTCATACAAATTGGAATCTGACCCAACTATCGGTGGACTAATGCTCGTTTTCACCATCAATCCCTAATTTTTAAGTGACCCCTATGGTAAAACATAACAGGAATTTTGTTTTCACAGGTGTAACTTAAAAATTAGGCATTGATGGTGAAAACGGGCATAACATTCAAAATCTGTATTCTACGGGGTGTCGACATTAAATTTTTTAGGCACCCCGGTGATGCTTCGAGTCCTATCGCTGTCATCACTAGTTTACTTAGCACCTTAAAGTACAATATGCAGTTACCTTTCTTGGCCAGCCTTCGGCGGTGCTGCTCCCTGGCGGCCTCCATCTGTATCTTGACGCTGTCGCCGGAGTCCTGGCGCTCCTGCCCGTCCGAAACCGTCTCCGCTTCCGAGCCGCCGCTCTTCATCGGGCTCGTTCGCTTTAGCACCTTATGCTAATAAGTTTAACGCCCATTTTTATTCGGCAACAGCGGGGACGCCTATGCAGTGGCACGATTATTGAACCGCCATTACGAAAGTCTGTTATTTGGAATTTTGATATAGGGTGAACGCTATAGTAATTAGCCAATACACAGTTATTGGCCAACTTGCCTAAAATGAAAAGAAACAAGCCTAATGGAAGTTATTAAGAGAGGAAAAGAGACAAATATTTTTTCTGAGCAATACGCAGTCCAATGTAGTAAATATTTTTGTCTCTTACTTATTAACAATCCAATATGCAAATAACTATGTATAGGCCAATTACTATAGCAATCACCCAAGTTGTGATAAATGCCAGTGGTTTTAGAAAGTTATCATTAATCTGTCGGCTTTTTGTACAGGACTATACAGGGTGAATACCGAAATGTGTATTGACAGAGAGCCCGATAAGCGTGAGCCACATCGCGGGCTAAGCCTTCATAACTAAGGTGTTGTCACATTTGTCGCGTGAGTGACAAGCTTAGATTTGCCTACTTGCGCTTAAGCGTAGCTCAAGGTGCGGTTTGTATTTTGTAAAGCATAATAAAATTTAAAACATTTGATAATACGAACTCACAAAGATTTTTCATGCAATGTCGAGGTATGTTTTTGGATCTTAGTATTTTTTAAAGGATTTTAGAATCATCATGTATATTATCCAGCCATGCTCAAGTTCGCGTGTTTGTTGCTGAAATTGGCTAATGCCAGTACTATCTCATGTTACCAATGAATTTTAAGTAATTGGCTTATTACGTCTATTTACACTACTAATTTAGATGAATCGATTTGTCTATAGAACAAAAAGTACATAATAACTTCCCATTATCTGATAATAATTTAAGAAGAAACTTTCCCTTAGAAATTGGAGACGTCATCACTATTTGTATTTACTGTGAAAAATGTAATGAAGACTAACTCACCACTGGCTTGAAACTAATCGTTCGATAATCGTGCCGATAATAAATCACTTTACATGCAAACACTAGGTCACTATCACTGAGTTTACTCGAAAACTTCACAAAACAACATCCACATCGGTATACGAAGCAAAACAAAATGCTAGTCTCTAACAAGTCACTACGTTATTTGATTTAAATCTAGATTATTATAGCAAAATGTCACCTTCCGCCCGTACGTCCTAAGTGGCTGCATTGCAAAAAGTGATTTAGTAAAACTTTAGTCTAATAACACAGAAATAATTATTTTCGCACACGAAACGTTGTAAACACGTCGGGATTATAAATGCAAGAACATTTCCGACTGCTGTAAAATGTGGGTAGTAGACAAATTAATTATTTTCTTTCACTTCTGTCAGACAGTGTTGCAGATTATCGATTGTATTTACTTCAAATCGGATATACATGATATCGATTTGTTATTTTGTGCCAGTACAACCATTTATTATTATTTTTTAAGTGTTTGAAGAAACTTAAATATCGATTTTTGGTCATTATTTTATGATTAGGTCATAAACATTTACTACATTTTTTGTGTAGGTTTTATTGTGCTTAAAATATTATTTGGCACATTTTACTGTTAACAGAAAATAATATACAGTAGGTATTTGTCATAATAATTGACTAATAAATATGGTCACAATAATTGACCAATATCCACATTCACTCAGCCAGTCAAATATTTTTTATTATTGCAGAAATGTCTTGGATTGGACGTGATGGGACAAATACACACTTACCACATACCAGTTACTATTATTAAGGTAGGCAAACACTTATCATTAATTCAGTAGCAGAATAGAAACTTGGTCATTGGTCAAGTTATTTGCTACATAGTGTGCATAGTATCTCAGATACTGAGAAATAGTCACAAGTCAAAATTTCTTTATTTGCATAGACTAATTAATTAGTACTTACAAATCATCAAATATTTTGCTCTTAAGGAGCCTCTACATGTCTCATAATCTTTTTATCCTACCAGCTCTTCGAGACCAACATTTAGCAAGTGCTGAGCTGAGAAGGAACATCGCATGAAACTCAGTCACCACTGTCAGCCGGTTGATTAGTGAACACTACACACAAACAATGAAAAAACTCACTTTTGATATTGTGTACTGTTGTTTACAGTTAAAGTACAGCATTAGAAAGCTATGAGTGTTATTATTTGCATTAAAACGGAAAAATAATAAGTGTATGACATCCTTCTGGTATGTTTCAAAGCTTTATCAATTTGAAACTTAAAAATCGCTCACTTACCACATCCATCTTTCCGATATCGAAGCCCAGCTCACGGATCGGAATCTCGTACATGTAAGTGAGGATGTTGCCAAGAGGTCGCAGCTTCTGCGGGGTGAGCTGCTTCAGACCAGCGTGGAGGAGTCTCCGAGCTGCCTTGTGGTACACCGTGCCGGCCTTGTTGTACTTCATAGCGTTATTGCACATTAGTTTGAAGTCACCCTGGAAAGAGGCATTGAATTTTGATAGAAAGAAAAAGAAAGAAAGAAAGAAAAACATTTATTTGGTTCAAACTTAAAAAATATAACACACAGAATGAGATAACAAAAAACAAGTATAAGTTAGAACCAAAATTGGCCACCGCTCATTATGTGTATAGAGATAGTACTTACCTTTTTGTTTCTCTCTCTCCTCCTTAAATTATAACTCACTAGCTTTCCGCCCGTGGCTTCGCCCGCGTGGACTACATTATATAGCCTATAGTGGACCCGCCTATTTTTTCCAAAATAAAATTTAGCCTATGTTACTCGTGGATAATGTAGCTTTCGAATGGTGAAAGAATTTTTAAAAACAGTCCATTAGTTTTTGAGCCTATTCATTACAACCAAACAAAGTTTTCCTCTTTATAATATTAGTGTAAATATGATACAGATTTGTATATTTTTGTATGAAAATTTGATATTTGCTAACTTTTACAATGCAATAACCTGTAAAACGGAGCATGTACCCAACTAGTCACACTGAATCATGTAAGACTGTGACTCGTTGGGAAAAAATCCTATTAATTCATACTATCATTGAGAACAAGCATAAAAAGCAACCAAGCTGTCTGTACTTACAATAAAACAGTTCAGAGATTTGTATTCATTGTCATCAATCTTTTGTTTCATCGTGGAGAAGTCCATTGGTTTCCTGATTATGGTGGAGTATCCCGGAGCAAAGTTGTCATTCACCGGCCAGGCAAAGAATTGATTTGGATCTCGTTTTTCTAAGTTCCGAAGAAGTTGTTCTAGCAAACGAGATAGGGGACGACGCTTTTGACTGGCCTGCAAAATAACATTTATTTTTAATGTAGCTGACTATAACAACATCTATCGGAGACAGTCGGAGATTAAGACACATTTGAGGTTGCTGACACATTAGAGTAGCTATAGTATGATAATGTAATATGGAATTTAAGTTAGACCAAAACTTAATACCATAAAAAGTTGTGTAGCTTTTTGTTAACATCAACAAATCATACCTTCAGAACACAAGTCCTGGGCTCCCTGTGAGACGCCGGCGAGTTAGGCCCGGGACTAAGACGGCGCAGGAGCTTCTTGGCCAGGCCTTCATCATCCGTCTCATCATCATCAGATAGTTTGATCTAAAACAAGAAATTACCTGAGTACTGACAGTAGAATCGTACATAATGAAACTATACTCATTCTTCACACAAAATATGCAGCAATGTTTAGATTCCTATTGAAATTTTAGAACCAAACTCGACTGACTACCATATCTATTTCTCGTCGTCTCCTCTTCTTTTTCTTAGGTTTCTCCTCAATGTCTTTGAGTTCTTCAGTAGCTGACTGGTCCATATCGCTATTCTCTAATTCTTCCTCTGAAAAAACACGAATTTATTTCACAATTTCTCTTTAAATAACAAGCTAACCACATAGGTTATAATTACACTCACTACAACTTAATTTCTCTATTTCATCCATGTTTTAAGTTAAAACGATATCTTTTTTATAACGTAACCTTATTTAAACGTAGTATTATAAAATATTTATATTAAAAACTTTGTTTTCAACAAATAACATCGATCAGCTTTTACGCCATATCAATTTATTTATATTTCAAGACGCGGTTTGTGATTGGTTGAAATCAAAAATTCTATTCACTGATTGGTAGATAATTTATCAAGTGGAACTTTATCGGCCAATAAGGTATGGCATTGATCAATGTCAAAATTTCCCATTAACCAATAGTGTGATAGCTGTTTCGTTCCACGCATCTTTTAGCACAATCTTTGCCTCAGTGGTCAAACAAAAAAAAAATATTAAAAGGAACCGTGTGGTGGGTATATTTTTTTTCCCTCATTCTAGAAAAAAAAGCATTGGCCGAGTCGAAAAACAAGCACAGAACCACACAGAACAAAATCAAAACAATTTAGATTATTTACAATGGATATTTATTGTAAGTGCAGTAAGTATTCACAAACTTAATATTTACCTACCTACTCAAAGAAAGAATGCTTAATGTAGGGTTTTGTAAAATATCAAAATCTTCATTTACAGCATACCTACATGGTGTTCTGCTCTACTTCTCCAGAGTCGACACTAGTTTAGAAAAAATGACCACGACTCCGCTTCGCTCGGCGCCCCTTCGCTGTCTGTTTAGCAATTGGGCCATCTGTGTTTTATTTGCATAGGTAATTTCATTTATACGATATCTCTAGCTAAGCACTTGTATCACATTTACTCATGTGCTCGTATGTTGATAGTTAGTTACAATGAATCAGAAACATCAAACAAGTAGATAGGTAGGTACCTACTTTATCTACTCACATGCATTTTGTTTGTAGTTACTTAAGTTCTGGAGTTTCCCTGACAGGTCCTAAGTTCAATTTCTGGCTTTTCTGGAATATCATGCAACAAAGTTTAGTGATTGTCAAAGTTTTCCCTATGTCTCATCAAGTAGGTAGATTTATTTAAAGACTTGGAAGCAGGTGTAGGTTTGATGAAGTCATCAGGTAAACTTTTCACAACTAAGTACCTTAGGTTAATGTACCTACTGCCAATTCATCAGAAGCAGCTAAGCATGATCGTGTATCGTGTATCACACATTTATTACCCACTTGTTCCATTGTCAGGGCGAAATTTTCACGATTTCCAAAACTAAATTACAGGTTGTAATAAGCCTATTGTTTGGGGAAGAATAAATTGCGTAATGAATAATAATAGAGAAAGCACGCGTCTTGTTTGGCAGCACAACACTCACCACATTACCCATTTTGACATGGTTCTGTAATTCCTTAATTTTGACTTTCGGAGACAGGTTAACTGCTGTGTAGCTAGCACGAAAAACTTTCGTCTTCGATTCGTTTGCGTATTCGACAGAATTCCATACCCAGCCTTCGAATTCAACGATCTCGACTGTCAATTAGTTTCGTTCTACCATTTCTCATACTGAGTTCACTTCAGGTCACGTTCACAGGGGCGGTGTTTAAGTTTTCATACTTTTCGTTTTTGACGGCGATTCGAATACGCAAACGATTCGAAGTCGAAAGTTTTTCGTGCTAGAGGTATTAGTTGACTTGTACATTTATTTGATGATTTTAATGAGATATTTTCTAGCCATGAGGTCCTAAATAAGTCATTTACTATTGTTTTTTCAGACCTTGAAGAATACGACGAATTTGCAGTTTAAGATCCACAGAGGCATCTAAAGGTAAAAATATTTAGCCATTTATTTATCCTTAAAAGTTAGGGAGGGTATTTTTAATAAGACGAAAAAAAGCGATCCTTGAGAAGCATCTACAGGGTTACCTATAGAAACGAATATAGTTCTAACTACTACACACATTGCACACTTTACCTACATATTTTATGACTAAGAGAGAAGTATATTAGAGAAAGCTTCTCTGCCAATTATAAGTTTGCCCAATAAACAACGTGGGTTCCCACCAAACCCCCGTTCACACGTAAAACCAGGAAGCCATTTTTACGGGGGAATACATAAGTTAGCCGCCACACTGCGGAGATACAGCTGCAATAAGCGCGGGAAATAATTTATCTAAAAGCGTCCATTACAGTTCTCATTGAAAAGCTGGAGGGATGAGCTTTGTAGGATTGTCGAGTAGGTAAGTATTGTTTTAGAATCACCTGCCACATTGTAAGTTGGGTTGTAGTGTGTTACTTAATAGGCATATTTTTCGATAGCAAAAAGTTTGTGATTGGCTTATGAGGTGCACTTTTTGTAGAAATGCGCCCTCGTAAGTTTACTACATAAAAGACATAAAATTTTAACGTTTCAGTAAATTGTAAGTAGATTATTCTAATGCTGAAAGGATTGTCGTTCATCGTATACGTGCCCATATAAATTGAGACCCGACCTATCTTAACTTATCACTTTTAGTGTGGATAAACTATCACATTAGTCTTTAGTAAGGCTTGTTTTACCATTAGTTCGTTCGTTTCAGCCGATAGACGTCCACTGCTGGACAAAGGCCTCCCCCAAGGATTTCCACAAAGACCGGTCCTCGCATCCATTACCATTAGTATTGTAAATTAAATGCTTTTAAATTATATAGAATTGTCAATTTCCGAACGCGGAAGAGTTGCGCATCACTAGGACTTCGACTCCCGCGCAGAGCAACAAAACCACACAAAAGATTTATGAAGCGCGATTTTGTATTAGCAGCGAGCAGCGGCCAATTTAATTAGCCGATCACACGGAAGGGCGCCATAACAAACGCAAACATACTTTTGGTAAGGCTTGGTACATCTTTACTGGGAGAAGAAGAAAGAGTAGGTATAGGTAAGCACAATGTCTAATGATTTTAGTTCTCATGAGGGTCATTTTCAAATCCTCATTACTCGTTTGCCTCTTCTCCTATGAAAAATCATTAATTGCTTCGTTTCAAAATTTTCATCAAATCGATATTGTCGGCGTTAGTTTTAGCAGTTTTAGTAATTAGTCGGGGTTTTGGTAGTGAATAAAGCCATGGATATTTAGGGGACAAAATGCCTCGTGCAACTCAGATTCTACGTGTTGCAGCAACGTTAGCAAACTCCCCCGAAGTGTCCCTCAGGCAGTCTCAGCAACATTCTACGCTACCCCGGATGTTTCGTGTTGACGCTCTTAAAATTATCCAGTAGGGTAGTAGTAGGTAGGGTAGGTACTTACTTTTCATTATTCACTAGCTTTTGCTCGTCGTTTTATCTAACCACGTAGAGTTTGGTCAATAAGTTTGAAGTTACTTCTACCAGAACTACTTTCGTTGATGGAAAGAAAATGAAAATTGAATTAAGTATTTGCGTAAACTTTTAAACCCTTACTTTGTGTGTTCTCGCCTTAAATATCGAACATTACAAAGCTTGTATCTGCGAACAGACGACGTTCGAAATTAATTGTGGCCATAGCCGCGCGCGCAGGCGATAGTCGCCTATCGATCACGGCGCGGACGCTTCCGCGATCTCAAACGTTGATGGTGCTTAGTGCTGATTGAAAAATTTTGAACTTATCTAAACTTAAAGCCAATAACAAAAACTTTGACAATAATTTTATAGATTTTTTTTTCGAAAGAACAGTTTTTTTATTTCTCTCGGCAAGAATTTTAAACAATAGGAATTCTTACATGCTGGAATTTCTAAGATCCTAACTAAAGGAACTCAGTACCTACTCGTAGGTACATACTTTCTTTTCAATCTAAGGAAATGTGTACCTACAAATTAATATTTCGGAAAAGCCGACCCGCATTCATAGTCCTCCTTGACTCGGTCCATTGCTAGATGAGACTGCTCTACTTCGGTGTCTTCAGGATTAGAGTTTCCTTGACCAATTCAAAATTGCAATCGCTATCAATATTATACTATCTTCATAATGACGATCTCTACGACACACAGTTGTTTTAAAAAGGATATGTTAAACATTCAATCGATATACTTTTTGCCGTACCTTTCAAAGTATAAAACTGGCAACAAACCTCTTGACGTCAGCTGAAAGAGAGTAGAAAGGTATTTCTCAGGCTCTTATCCTGATTATCACATCGGCTGTGTGCCTCTGATTATCACGTCCAGGAGCCTCAGTCATTAGCGGGGCCATCGCAGCCCCGGGCATAAAGCCGGATAAAGGGGAAATATTTCGTGGGAGGTATTTCGACAATGTGCATTGTAGGGTGAGCAGGTGGTTTTGATATTTGAGGATAGGTAATATTTTGATGCATGTGGAATTCGTTAGATACCAAATAGCTAATAAATAAAAACGTATTAAGACTGTCTTTCGTTACTAAAAGGCGAGTTTACAGTGATTTTCCATCCACTTCTTATATTTTTCCTGATTGTTTGGAGTTCAGTCTTCTGGTTCTTAGCTGTAAGATCTGCTCAAAGATCATCATGCATCGTTGACACCAAGTAATACCATGTTTTCAGGCCTCTTGTTCTACTTCTAAACTTAGTTCTTCCCGAAGTATTTCATAAAACATGTCAAATTATTCTGGCTGTATCATCATAGCACAGATCATAGCGTGAAAACAACGAAACGTTTTATGAATTTACGAGGACGAGTATGTGCCGTATTTTACAATTGATACAATGTGAGGCCTGTGATTTTTTCACTTCATTTCCTTCATGAAAGGGATGAAACGTGGGCACCCTACCGCCGATGTTCCCAATTAGCATGCGCGCTGAGATGCGCGTGATGCGCAGATCGCCGATAATCGCCGCGCGAGTTAGCGCGGTGCGCTCGCGCAGATGCCAGCACTGCCGGTAATGACAGCGCATTTGCTTGGAATATCTGAAAAAAAAAATAATATAACTGTATCAACAGAGAGATGTATGGACGGAAAAAGGATGTACTATTGATTCAAGACTCTTTTTGGGCTATGCAAGTTATCATACTTTTTAGTTTAAGACATTTTTTTATTTTCTTTCTTCTTAAATTAGTTAGTTCAATTCTCAGATTCCTATTGTGATGATGATGGTGTATCTTATTAAACTAAGTTTTTTGCATTGGACTACGTAATGTGTGTTTGAAATGGACGTTTATTTATTTATTTTAGGAATTACAAACAAATGTGTTTTGTTTGTAATTGTCACGTTCCCGAGTGATTTGGCCGAAATTAAATTTCTT